GGATTGAGATTTTATGATTTTAAGTTCAGAATTCTGAACCTAACTGTCAGGATTTTAAGTTCAGAATTCTGAACCTAACTGTAAGGATTGAGATTTTATGATTTTAAGTTTAGAATTCTGAACCTAACTGTAAGGATTGAGATTTTAAGTTCAGAACTCTGAACCTAACTGTCAGACACTTCACTGCTTTGATTTCATCAAATCGAGTGTCACCAAAAAAATATTGTCCTGCGAGCCATGCCGGTTGACCCCAGGAACGTGAAGATGATAGCCTTTTGGTCATTAGGTTTTGCTTCCTTATTTTTTCCTTCAACTCCCTCGCACAAAAAAATGTCAACAGTTTTAGTCCCATGGTTTTGTTTTCTTAATTTCCTTCACAAAAAACTTTTGTCCACAGCTTTAGTCATCAGATTTGTTTCCTTGATTTCCTTCGCCAAAATTTTGGTCCACAGCTTTAGTAATCAGATTTTGTTTCATTCAGTCCCCTCACCAACAAAAATCACCAGACTTTTTTAGTCAGTAGGTTTTACTTCTTCAATTTCCCTCTCAAAAGAAATTGTCCACAGTTTTAGTAATCATTTGTCTTTCAATTCCCTCACCCAAAAAATTGTCCACAATTTTAGTCTTTTGGTTTTGTTTCCTTAATTTCCTTCACCAAATTTTGGTCCGCAGCTTTAGTCATCAGATTTTGTCCCCTTCAACTCCCTCACCAACAATATAACCAAACAGTTTTTGCAATTTGGTTTTACTTCTTCGATTTTATTCTCCCAAAAAATTGTCCACTGTTTTAGCCATCATTTTTCTTTCAATTCCCTCACCCAAAAAATTGTCCACAGTTTTAGTCCTGTGGTTTTGCTTCCATAATTTCCTTTACCAAAATTTTGGTCCACAGCTGTAGCCATCAATTTTGTTTCCTTCAACTCCCTCACCAACAAAATCACCAGACAGTTTTAGTATGTGTTTGTCATTAATTTTTGTTTCTTCAATTTCCTTCACCAAAACATGTTGTCCGCAATTTTATTCATCAACTTCTTTTCCCCCAGCCCCCTTACCAAAAAATTGTCCACAGTTTTAGTCCTTGCTGCGCTTGCATTTTCTTACTTTTAAAGCCATTGTTTGGCTATGTTTGGCTATACCTGTTGTCAATTCATCTCATTCTTTTTAATCCAGTTTGTGGCTTTTGCTGGTGACGTCAATCTGAAGCCTTTTGGTTTCGGCCTTCAAAACCTGCAAGCCATATGCGGCTTTGGCTGATTGCACTAGATGAAGCCTTTTTGTTGGCTTTGGTTGTGTACTGAATCAAACCTCCTGGGCTTTAGCCTGAGACCCTCCAGTTTTGCGAAATGATGATTTTGAAACTTACCATGGCAAGCCCATGGTGGCTTCATGCAAGCCTGAAGGCTTGAAACATCACTCTTATAGAATGGCCAGCAAGGCTTGAAAACAAAAAATAGGTTAAAAAACTCAAGCACCATCATACATTTTGACTATGAAATCGATTTTGATGTTGCTTTGAACAGTTTATAACTAGTTAGCTCTAACTCAAGTTAACTAGTTAGTAACTGTTTTACTAACTGGTCAAAAAAGTTAGCTAACATCCTTAAATAGTTACTAACACCCAGGCCCATCTAAGTGGGCACTACCGGACCCCAACCGCAAGTGCCAGATCGCAGCGGGCACTACCGGATCTCAACAGCAAGCGCCAAATTGCAGTGGGCACTGCCGGGCCTCAACACGCAACACACAACCACAATATAACCAGAAACACACAATACACAGCCACAACACACTAACACAAAGCGCAGCCGCAAACACAACTACAAACACGCAGCACAAACAAACACAATCACAAAGACACAGCCACAAACACATAGCCGCATAGCCACAAACAAAATACAAATACAATCACAAACATACAAACACACACAAACACAAACACAAACGCATAACCGCAAACACAACCACAAAGACATGATCACAAACGCACAGCCACAAACACACAACCACGAACACACACAATCACAAGCGCGCAACCACAAACATAACCACAAACAAAGCCACAACGCAACCACAATCACAAACACACAGCCACAAACGCGCAACCACAACACACAACCACAAACACAGAAACCACAAGCACAACCGCAAACACACAACCAACAGCACACAGCCAGCACTCAACCACAACACACGTAACACACAGCCACAAGACTCAAACACAACCACAAATACACAACTACAACAATATAGTTATTTGTGTGTGTGTGGCATTATGCGGATTTTGCGGAGAAGGTGGTCAGGGTAGCACTATTTATGCCAACTGGAGACCCTGGCAACACCCCGAAGCGAACTTGCCGCAATGTACCTTTCCGTTGGCACGAGCATGTGCACCCACCCACCATAATCTTATAGAGGGTTAGAAACAATTTTGTAGAGATTGTTGTTTAAGCACCTTTCCGTTGACACGAGGTTGTGCACCCACCCACTATAATTTTGTAGAGAGACAGAAACCATTTTGTAGAGAAGGCATAATCTGTGAGCCCACTCGGGCAGACTCCCAACACAATATGTAGACTTAGGGTTTCTATCTTTGGGGGGGCTTGATCTTAGAGATGGACTTATTGGTTTTGACCTGGGGGGAGGCAAATGGTCCACAAACGACCCAAAGGGTGGTCAGGTGAATTTCACATACACGCAATATCATCAAGTGTGGTTGAAATTCTTCGTAGAAGGCACAAGACATTGAAGCGATAGCCAAGCAGCCTACGGGAGAACGGACACGCTGTAGGCTGTGACACGCTCTATTTCAACGTATGCAAAGTGGTCCAGTGCGTCGGGGCTTGCGGCTATTTGAGAATAGAGATCCAAACGAAGGCTTAAGAAGCACGGTGGAACAGCGCGCCTCCCCCGTTGCGCTTGAAGCTCTCTTGAGGAGCATGCTTGCAAAGCGTGGGCGTAACTTAAAGGTCTGCAGGCTCCATTCTTTTTGATAGGCTACACTATGGACTGAACTATACGCAATGGCCGAAGACCGCGCATTCAAGTCTATTCAGCTTGCGGCTATTCGCCTGCATGGTGTCAGAGCAAGTGGCCGGGATTTGAACTTTAATGTGAAAAGCTGCTTAGTGAATTGCTGGGCAAACCTTGACAATGGCGTCGATGCACCGGTGGTTGTGCACCCACGCACACTGATGAAGTGGAGTATTCCAAGATGATTATTCCGACGTCACACGTTGTCATCCTGCCTGTCCAAGGAATGGTGGATGGAACATGATGGAACATGATGGATGCAGAACCAAAAGGAGGTCTCCCCAAACAGTTTGTGCGTTTATGCAGTAAGCCAAAGAGACGAACTGTCAAACAGTCAACGGCTCAAACCGTTCCAGCTCGCAGTGATCAACTCGGCAATTCAGGCGTACACAGAACATATGCAAATCTACTAAATATGCTGAGTTGTACTGACATGTGGCTTTATCACGCTTTGTTTGGTTAACAGGTGTTAAAAGCTTCAGCCCACCATGATTTTGTGAGGTTAGACAGCAGGGAGACAAGTGTAACAAGAAGGGGGACAGGCAGGGAGACAAATGGGAGACAAGTGTATTCGGTGCTTGGCCGCATGATTCTACATTGGGAGACAACATCAAAAGGGAGACAAGTGTAAAAATCACGCGGCCAAAGCGCCCACAGGAGACTGGAGACAGTGGGGTAGAAGTGGGAGACAAATGGGAGACAAGTGTGAAATCATGCGGCCAAGGCACTCACAAGCGAGTGGAGACAGTGGGAGAGGGAGACAAATGTAAAATCACGCGGCCCGGTCATGCACCCCTTTCAAAGGAGTAAGACCCCCTCACAGGTAGACCTGTGTGGGGAACTAACGCCAACTGTGTTTGCCCAGCACATCCGTGAAAACAAACACACAAATCACATTCTGACCAAGCCAGGTTTCGCAGGGAATGCGGCCACCTCTGGGGCATCCATTGCTTTCAATCAAGCCGATCCAATTGTGGCCGCCTGATGCCTTCTCGCTTTTCTGGAGAAGTTCCGCTGCACACTTCCCAGGTTCCTGACTGCTGCATTCATCATCGACCATCAGGGGAGCCAAGTTGAAGTCTTCGGCACCACATCGAGCAAGAAGGATGAAAAGGAAGCCAAGCTTTGACATCGTCAATGCAGGCCAGCTGAAATATACTGGTATGACTTTTCACAAGAATTGGCTTGGCCAAATGAAGGCACCGGTTTGACCACACGGGCATGTCTTGTATTGAGTTCGATCGATCCAGCATGTATATTACATACTGCACATATTCGTCACAAACATCAACAGTAGAAAGCACGGACATGTTGCTGGCAAATCAAAACTGACATGAAATGACTGAAACACCACCCGAGTTAGACTGTCCTCTCTGACTGTAGATGGGATTTTCTGGCCTCATGCTGTGAGAGCTGCCTTAAGCGCCCTACCAATATCTGCGAAGAGCCTTGGAAGTGACTTGCTCAAATGCTGTCTCTCGATCCACTGTATTTTGAAAGACATCGAAGACTCCGAAGACCACACCCTTTCAAGGAACTGCACCCGCTGAACTCTGGGATCACTCCAGGTGGGCCACAAAAAAATTGTGCTACTTTGAGATTGCTCGTGGCTGAAGTGGATAAAGGCCTGCATTTTGTAAAACATTGTACAACTCATCCAAAACCTCGAATAAACAGCATTGGAAATGAGCTATCGGCTTTCTCCTTTGGATTTCCTCAAGCACTCTAGCCGTAGCTCAACACATCTTTGGCTCCACCACCCTTTCTCCTGTTCTCCGAGCTTAAAGTCCCAAGAGAGCAAGCTAATTATCACCTTATTGAACCATGCTGAAATGAAAGGTACTTCAAGGTAGATGCAGGGTCACCTAAGAAACTCGGAAAACATGCACAAAAACATTGAGTTGGCTTGGATTTTAAGATTTTGGCTACTTACTTTGCCATTTCCTTGGCGGTTGGATGCGGTTGGTCCCTTTTCGTCCTTCCTGGGTTCAACTTTATGTTGACTTCTTGCTGCTTCTTGTTTGCCTTTACTTGTCTTTTGTTGAGTACTATACATGTTTCAGGCTCTGCCAGGTAATCTACCTTGTGAACAGTGAACTTGTGAATCTTTTTGTTGATTCTGTCTCTAGGTATACCGATCAATCCAAATCGATCAAGTAGACACCCCCACACCGCGGCTTGGAATAGTCCAAGCACCCACCTTGATTTGCCGGTATGTTTTGTCATCCAGGAATCTGTGAGGGTTACCAAAAATACATAATCGTTTGCCCGAAAACTGCCGAAAACCACCGCTCTTGGAGCGGCCTTGGGCAACGTAAAACTACAGTTTCTGTCTGAATACATTTTCGTGCAGCACTGTGCGCAAGGAACCCTTGCGCGACACCATGTGCCGACCATGCGCGATGCAGGCTTTAGACTTCAGACCACCTACTATGAAAAGAACATAATAAGACATGGGGGGCTTATGGAGAAAACGAGTGTGAACCAGCACTTTTTGGTCCTTCGATGGCTGGCTCAAGTCCATCAGGCTTACGCTCCGATCTCAAAGAGCCCTAAACAAGTTACATCCCAAACAACCAACGTATACATGCTATAAAGACAACGGAAGAATCAATTATTCATGCTGTAAAGGTGGAGTGCGACTAAAGTCGCAACCTTGCTGTACTGCTTCTGCATCGAAAATCTTAAGCAACCCTACCGCTGTGCAAAGTTTAGCTAATGCGACTGCCTTGAAGTTTAATCGGATCATGGAGGTATTAAATGCATGCTGCACAACAGAGCTGTGTCTTTTCTATCCTTTCTGAGGTAAAGTGCCAAAACAATTATGCAGGGGTGCGTGCTGGGGGTTCGCGGGGCCAGAATTTGTGGGAAGGATGGCTTCTTCGCGAGGCTTCGCGCAAAAACCACGGGCTTCACGAAGTGGTTTCAACCTAATTCCATAATCTCTATACGTCGCGAATTGGTTTCGTGTGTAATATCCAAGAGTCTACGCCAGAGGCTTCGCGAGCCACAAACATTTCTATTTAATAGAGCTTCGCTCATGTTCACGTTGTGACTACGCGCACTGCCTCTACTAAGACTGTACTCGTCCAGGCTCTGAATACTGAACTGCTCGAGCCAAGGAGCTGTTCAGTGTGCCACAGGCCTTTCGCAAAGCCATGGTCCGCTCCTCCAAGAGCACGTCTCAGCGTAGTCTCGAACAATGGCGTTAAAAACATGTTAGAGGCATGCAGCACCAAAACGAGGATTGCACACTGAGGCGCTTGATTCAAACCATGGAAGGAAGCCCTCTGCAAAACATTACGAGTGCAAAACATTTTGCTTGCAGGGATACAAGGTTCACGAAAAAGGAGGCTGTAAGGGTGAATGAACTCTTTGAAGACTGGCCTTTGGCATGATAAATGGTCATACAGTGCGAAAACATGTCTTCAGTCTTAAGGACGCTATTAGGTGGAGGCCATCGCTACTAGTAACAATAAGCTACTAGGAACAAAGGTACGCAAGTGCTCCATTCAGGTGCGTTTGAAGCTTAGCGGTTCAGCGGTTCTGCGGGAAGCTCCACTCCTGCAGTTCCGCAGAATGGTGTTCATGCACCAAGGCTTCTGTTCGATGCTTTTCCAGCCTTAAGGCTTCATCTTTACCGTCTACAAATACTTCCATGTGGGTCAAAGCCAAAGCTACATTGTTACATGGGCTATATAATCTAGTTTGCTATTTGATGCTATTTTTTAAAATACTTTTCAGGGCCAACCCTTCAAAAAGCAGGGCATCTAGGTGATTTGGCCGCTCCTTGCTAAACCATGAAAAACCTCAGCATTCACATTGCTAAATCACCCTGCAAGCGGCTGAAAAAACACTGAGGCCTGTACAGTTCTGTTGTCTTTGTGGCCTCCTTCAAGGGTTGTGAATTTGTCACTTCCATTTATTAATTGCTGCCAACTTTTTCAAGAATACTCTTGAGTACGGATTTGCTGTACATAGGGGATTTATTACAAGCCTTAGCGGAACTCCAATCAATCATGGTATGGCCCATGTTGCAGGAGTGAAATGACTTCAAACATTCTAAGCCGGTTTGCAGTGTTCACTCTCCCCCCACCAAGCGAGCATCGTCTGCACAGCATTGTCATCTTGGTTTCAATTTTGCAGATCACCATAGAAAGGAATAGTACAAATGCGAAATAAGAAGAGGCTCTTACCCTTCTGTTTTTTTTTTTGTACCATTGGCACAGCACTCTCTTCAACCTTATGGTAGGGTTACTTTCAATCAGCTTCAATCGAGTCGTCGGACACAAACAAACAATAATTCACATCCATGTGTTAAGTTCCCCAACACCAAATCATTAGTGCGAGATAGTGCGAGTGCTTCTTCAATTCAAGGAAGCTCCCCCCGCCTGAGGCCTTGAAGAGTGAACTATCCTAGTAGCTTACCTAACTATACATATATAAATTATGTAATTAAGTAGACGGCTACTTAAACAAGTAGGGAGGCGGGGCCTCGGGGAAAAAAATAGGAGCGATCGCATGGAGCAGAAGAAAAGCCCGCGTTGTGTCTTTAGAAATTGAATTTGTTAGTGTTCAAAAGTGTCAATGTTTATTCTGATATTTATGTCCTTTTGTCTTACGGCAAACTTCCGGCAACCTTGCGAGCATCAGGTAAAACTATCTGTTGACTCACTGACTTTGGCCCATTTTGACGCTGAACTCAAGGTCCTTTGCTTCATCGGCCATCAATGCTTCCTCTTCACGGCAGAGTTCCTCAGATCTAAGATGCACCAAAAAACCAACAGAATTCCTGCAAGTCACGACAAACACTGAGAAAACATATGCAGGGGACATCAGGGGGTAAGGGCTGTAGAGTCCAACTGTTGTGGTTCCTCTCAGCCATGGCTCCTGAGTTCGTTCCTCAAAGCGACGCTCCTTTTCCTGTGATGCCTCCCGCCTTTCGTGCAACTCTCTCCGGTGCTCTTGCAGCTCCTGGAGGCCAAGGTACCATGCAATCCATTGCAATCCCAGCCTTGTTCGTGAGTGCCTTTAGATGCCTCTACTGTACGGTACGCCTTTTAATTCTGAAAGTCGGAGCGCATGCTTTGAAAAGTGGCGGCAACTTAATACGATCCTCCGGCTTGTTAAATGCCAACTAAACTAAGTGGTCGACAAGGCATTGAAGTCCGGATTGTTGTAATCCAATTTCACTGTGCTGAGCGAGCATTTATAGTCCGGGACTGAAAGTTAGAATGCCGTGCGGTTTCCCAAAAGTTTCATGACAAAAGATAGAATGCCGTACTGAACGAGTTAGAATGCCGTACTGAACGAGTGTTTTAAAGAAAAACATGAGAAAGACGTGTTTTTTGCCTGCTATTTGCGATGTATTGTACAGTTAGAATGCTGGCTGATTCTAGGCGGTGTCCATTAACCGATAACATCAAAAAACACGGACAAAAACACAACAAATAACAGTTGGAATGCCTTCAAAAAGGTTGGTTGGATGAATGGGTGGATGGTCATGGATAGATGGAGATGGATGGAAATGGGTGGGTGGGTGGGTAGGTGGGTGGATGGATGGATGGATGGAAGGAAGTGGGTTTGGATGGATGGACATGGATGGGGTGGGTGGGGTAGGCGGATGGATGGATGGATGGATGGATGGAACACACAGTTGGAATGCGTCCCAATGAGGTGTTTCTGGGCAATGTATGATGGCTTGCAACCTATAGAATGCCAGCTGGTATTCTAACTTTCAGTCCTCTCAAACAAATAAAGTAGATCTTCAAAACAGCTTGTGCGATCTTCAAGATACGTAGCTTGTGCACACAGGCATACACACGTGGATGCATGCCTAGGTTCACACATTCACATTGTATATATATATACATATTTCCACGCGTGCACCCACCTGTGTGAGTGTGTATGCGCCTGTGGCCTCTGTGAGCATCCGCATTGCTGCAGCAGCCAAAGTTGTTCTTTTTTCCCCATCTCATTTCACCCCATGTCCAAGAATGCGAAGCTGGGACTTGCGAATGATGTTGCTTTGCAGAAACACAAGAACGACACTAATATTTGCACATAGACATATGTATGCATTGAGTCATGGAATCTAGACTCACACACCCACACATGCAAATCTCCATGGTCATGGACTGGACACTTCTACCAGCCTGCACTGCAACACGGGCCCCGATTTCGGACCATAAACCGCAGCTTCTTTGAGGAGCAAAATTCTGCATTCAGGATGTTGACCGTGCATCCACACAAATGTCAATCAAGGTGACAACTACCACTATATCTCTCTATATATATATACACAGTAATCTGTGTTTCTACCGGGCTCAACACAGGCAAAATCACATCAGGAAAAACAATCCTGTGGTATCTATGGGTTGGACACTGTGGCGATGAACTCATATCAACACATATAAGAAATCATAACAGGCATTCTATCTGTTTGATCTGTCGCAAGGGTCGTTCTCTTTTGTTCTTTTTGTGGGCAAGCGATGAACTCATATCAACACATATAAGAAATCATAAAAAGGCATTCTATCTGTCTGCTCTGTCGTAAGGGTCGTTCTCTTTTGTTCTTTTTTGTGGATTTTACAGGTGCAACGGCATTCCATCTGGGTCATGATTTCATGATTTTGGCGCCTTAGCTGTAGTTGGCTGATATCATCTAAAATCGGCATTGGTATTTCCCAAACCGTCATTCTAACTTTCAGTCCCGGAGTATAAATCATTTCGAATCAGTGCTTTCATCCTACATGGTCTTGGTCCGGTGACTTCAACACTTCAAGACGCTCTGCGGAAAAATAGAAAGGCAGAGTGTGTGTGTGTAACCCTTGGAGTCACAGGGATCCCGTTGGATTGTGTCATTTTTTGCAGGGGGGCAGTGAGTCTCTTTCCATCCACTGCCCAACGAAGACGATGGTTTGAGACTATGATATTCCCGAGGGACGCCTCAGGAACGTACCTGCACCAATTTTTAAGATTTTCTGCAGACATGCACGTTTTGAGCTGTTGGCCCCACTTCCGTTTAAAGACCTCCAGGCTTCTTTGGTTTTGCTTGAACTATTGAGGATTTGGGAACCCAGGTTGGCGTGTGGCAACCGCTTTCAAATCAGTACGCATTTCTAAAAGTGTGTGTGTGTGTGTCACACCCTGGTTCTAAAGGTTTTCCACGTTCTCATCTTTCCACTACAACAGAGGCCGTTTCCATTTTTCCACTGATGCAGGGGTCATGGCAGCTGTTTCCCTAGCCATGCCAACGAAGCTATGGGATTCAGCCGGAAGGGAATGTGGACGCACATTCCTGTACCTGCAACGTGAACTTTTGATCAAGCTGTCCAATTCGATCGGTTTGTTTCCATGGTCCTTCATGTTTCCACCCCCAAACCTCGGTTTTTGCAGCTGAGTTGAGCCGTTCGTTCACCACCGCTGATGTGCAGCTGAGTCAAGTGAAACAATCGATGTTCAAACACCTACAAGTTATCGGACTTTTCGCCATGCTGTTCTATCGCCTTCCTTCCCAACGTGGCAATTGAGTCTAACTGAAAACCCAAGTTCGAAGTGTGGACCGCTCAGTCTTCCCACGTGGGTACTGGGTGTGACCCTCCGAAAGGAGGTGCCGAAACCATTCCGGATTTCATTGGCCCTGCTTGCTTATAACTGACCCCCTGTTTGTTTGCTTTATCCCTGAATTTCCTGATTTTCGAGCCGCCGGGCTATAAGCGACGGAATTTTCACTAATGATTCTGAACCTCATCCGTACTGCGCATTGTTGCATCCTTGAATTTTTAACTTTTCACCCGCAGCTGTTTAGCAACCGATCACTTTTCCACCCCACAACGCCACCGCTGCGGCTGAAGCCTTGGTCAACCTTTACGCCCAAAAAGGGCATGACCTGCATGCGTGCAGGCAGTTTTTGAGAGAAAAAGATCCATGTTTCCACCGCTTGCTCTGTGCGCCGATCACGGCTTGTTGTGTGTGTGTCACACCCTGGTTCTAAGGGTTTTCCACGTTCTCATCTTTCCACTACAACAGAGGCCGTTTCCATTTTTCCACTGATGCAGGGGGCATGGCAGCTGTTTCCCTAGCCATGCCAACGAAGCTATGGGATGCAGCCGGAAGGGAATGTGGACGCACATTCCTGTACCTGCAACGTGAACTTTTGATCAAGCTGTCCAATTCGATCGGTTTGTTTCCATGGTCCTTCATGTTTCCACCCCCAAACCTCGGTTTTTGCAGCTGAGTTGAGCCGTTCGTTCACCACCGCTGATGCGCAGCTGAGTCAAGTGAAACAATCGATGTTCAAACACCCACAAGTTATCGGACTTTTCGCCATGCTGTTCTATCGCCTTCCTTCCCAACGTGGCAATTGAGTCTAACTGAAAACCCAAGTTCGAAGTGTGTGTCAACCCCTGGGCCAAGGGTTCACCCTACCACCTTTTCCACCACAATTTTACACGCAGGGGCGTGCAGCATCTGTGGTCCACTGCACGCAACGAAGCTACGACCACAGATGGGAAGGGATCAAGGACGCTTGATCCTGTACCTGCAGATCAACACATTGACACCAATGGTCCACCCTGCCGCTGTTCGTTGGTTCCATGGTTTTTCTTCACGATACTTCCCCCAAACAGGTTTCCCACTGCAGCTTTCAGCCACTTGTGCATTGCAGCCAGCAGAGCGAGTGAAACAATGTTAAACAGTTCAAATCACCGGACCCTTTCGCCTTTCCGTTCCCTCACCATCCTTCTCAACGTGGGAGTCGAGATAACTGAATACAATTGTCAGAGTGTGTTTCGCTCAGCCGTCCCACTCGGGTGCTGAGTGTGATCCCCGTCATTGGGGCGCTGTTTCATCGTGAAAGCACTAACTGACCTTGCCACTTTTCACAGGAATTCCACCGGAAGTCACTGACACAACCTTTGAATTAACTGACAAAACGGCTGCCGGGCCTAAACACGGGACTCCATAGCCGCCGGGCTTTAAAACGGTGCCCCAATCAGGCAGGTTTCCCCACCCCCCCCCAAGCCGAGTTCTACTCCCCACCTAATTAGGGCAACATAGGGAAATGGTACTCGACACACTTGTGTGTCGGTGCCTTTCCCTGTGTTGTTCCTGTTCTAGTCTTCTCTACCCGGGCGGTCTAAGACTAAAGTCCCGCTCCCTAACTACTGCACTTAATTATTTCGTCTAAGTATTCAGTAACTCTAGAGAGCTAGGTAGTCAGACACACACATGTACACACACATGAACATACATCCCCTCCCTGCCCCCACACTTTTCTTCTTGCGCTTTCCGTCGTTTGTTGGGCTTTCTCTCAGGCTTTTTAGGTTGCTCTTCAGGCTCGTTTCCCTGCCCCAGTCAAGTGCTAAGTATTCACTTTTTCTACACCTATCTTTCTTTCTTGCCCTCTTAGCGCTGCTCTTTCAGTCTTTCCTTTCTTTTGTTTCTAAGGCTTTTTAGGTGACTATCTTACGTTTTATGCCAGAGAGCCGCAAAGCGGCGGAGTGTGTCACACTCTGTACCTAAGAATTTTCCTTACTTGATTCCAGCAGGGGCGCCGATCACGGCGATCTGTGTGTGTCAACCCCTGGGCCAAGGGTTCACCCTACCACCTTTTCCACCACAATTTTACACGCAGGGGCGTGCAGCATCTGTGGTCCACTGCACGCAACGAAGCTACGACCACAGATGGGAAGGGATCAAGGACGCTTGATCCTGTACCTGCAGATCAACACATTGACACCAATGGTCCACCCTGCCGCTGTTCGTTGGTTCCATGGTTTTTCTTCACGATACTTCCCCCAAACAGGTTTCCCACTGCAGCTTTCAGCCGCTTGTGCATTGCAGCCAGCAGAGCGAGTGAAACAATGTTAAACAGTTCAAATCACCGGACCCTTTCGCCTTTCCGTTCCCTCACCATCCTTCTCAACGTGGGAATCGAGATAACTGAATACAATTGTCAGAGTGTGCGTCAT